AAGAAATGGCTTCAAAATGCAATCTGCATATTGTCTATGATAGTGGCTAGAAAGTGTAAATGAAATTTAAGGAAATGATTCAATCAGTTTATTTTGGGCCGCCATTTGCAATGAATGAATTGAGCGTGACGCTTGGGCTAGCGTCATCCAGTCATGCAAGACACGGTCGACGTTGCTATTCTCTTGCATACCATCCCGGATGGCAATTCTATCGTTGAAGAAAGGTTACGCTTGTATTGATATTATCCAGTCCAAAGAACTGATCTAAAATCAATAGTCATTAATTATACATAATTAGGGTATACGTTTATTTACATAATCTCCTGTTAGCATGATCGCTTTCGAATGATAAATTGTGGCTAGTGGAAAAGGTATTCTCTCTCTCTCGGTGCTGATTATGTTACTCTAGAGTCGCTCGTGAAGTGCCAACGGGTAGACGAACACATCAAGCTTCTGTGCTGTATAGTGTACAGTACACTGTACAATACAGTACAGTACAGTACAGTACAGTACAGTGTGTATTAATCATACAGTACCGTACTGTGCACTGTACAGGGTTAGGGTTAGGGCTGGGGTTGTACTGTACTGTACTGTACAGTTTGACATTTTTACAGCATCTCAGTCGAGTAGAATTTTGTACTGTACACTGTACAGTACAGTACAATACATTGCATTTCGCTGTGCGATACTGGACCGTTCCGTGCCGGACTGGACCGTTCCGTGCCGTACTGGACCGATCCGTACTGTACTGGACTGTGACAGCAAGTTGCGGAAACACAATCCTTAGTACTGTAGCCAAATCGTGGCCACGGCATACTGTGGCATGTTGAGCACAGTGCACAGTGCACAGTCTTCTGTACCAATTCAACCAATCCACTATTTATTTTGGCTGACGTTTTCCCTTAAAAAACACCGCGTTGATCAATTATCGCTTTACATACAAAGACAACGGTAACGAATAATCGCAGTTGCTACCAATATCAATAAGCGTACTGGCGAGCAAATTTCACGTTTCAAAGGCAAAGGCATCAAGAACTGAATTCGAGCCGCTGAAAGTCCGATAAGGTAAAGTAATGTAATAAAAAGAAACTTTAATGGTTTCGTTAAAGAAGCAATGATTAAAATAACATTGGAATGTGGCGTTGTTATTTTTCCCAGCAAGTGTAGTTTACCTTGGCCACAAGGTTCCCCCATTCAACATTCGATGCTAGTACTGGACGTTCGTCGTCTTTCGACGCTGTCCAATGACACTGTTATCCTATAACACATTACAGTAGACATTAGGCACTGACACGTTCAATTAATGCGAGATGCCAAAAAATTATAATTTTACACAAGATTAATTTTATTGTAATAATCGACTTCTTCACTTTTTCTCTTTCTTGATGGGATGATTGTTGAACAGCAAATTTATTCGTCCCGACTTTTGATCGCTAAATTTGCCTAGACTGATCATGACTAATCTTGCGTCGTTTCCATGTTTATTCTCGATAACTTGCAGTTTACACCACAGTTGGAAGTTTGCACTGGTTGTGTGAACATTTGTTGGGTTGGAAAAAATAATGTTACTTATGACAGTAGTGCTGTACATTTTTCTTCATACATGTATTCTTTTAAAAGTTCACTTCTTTATGGCCGTACTGTTTGTCAGTCTATGCTGGCACTTTTTTTTTTTCTTTTGCGTCTAATGAATCACAAATCGATTACGCCGCAGTGTACACGTACTTGACTGTACACTGTACAGCGTGTAGAGTAACTAGCACGGTATAGTGTGTGTCATTTTACTAGTTGTTGTTCAAGTCAATGATTGAACGATATTGTACTGCTGTAGTTTAGGATACTGCTACTTGTCTATTTGAAAAAGTATGCAAGAATTGTATTCTATTTCAGTGGTGAGTTTACATATTACAGTGAATATGGTATGGTATAAAAGAACATGCTCCCTTAGTGTGACAACATAACATGATGGTTTTAGAATAACATTTAAAATTCATTTGACAATGGATAACCTACAAACATACTGTACGATGCTACACAATTCAAGTATAGTGCCTGAATATCGTACTTATGTTTAGCCGTTTATTTTTGTGCTTGAAAATGGATAAAATATCAGTCGATAAATATTGGAAAATCATGACATTCATCTTTTTCGGTTTTATTGCGCTTCAGCCATCTTTCTGTACGCTACAGTACAATACCCCCTTTGACAGTGTTGCCTACAGTACATTGTAGGGTGGACTGTGCTCGCTCAGTATTCACTACTACGGAGATCCAGGCGTTTTCTACGGTACTCTATCTCTACCGTATGCATACGTACTGTACACTGTAGTCTATTATTGTTGTTTTGGATTACCTCGGTACCCCCCCCAAAAAACAACTAAAAACCCACAGTACTTTACTCTACCCTACAGTACAATATGCGAGCACAGGACTGGAAGCTGTTTCTTTTTCCACGTCGACCTAGTACCGTACAGGACAGTATAGTAAACTCGGTTTTGTTGTCTCTACGCTAAAACAGTACACTTTCTATAGTACAGTATCGCATGGCGTCGTGATACCGACAATACCGTACAGTACAGCAGAGTCGAACAGTATGAGTAGGATGTTATTGGTGATTTGGGGAAGAAAAGTCATCCAACTCTGTTTTCTTGCCTACAGTTGTAACCATAATAATTCCAATGAGCAATCTGTATAAAAATTTACTGTTACCATAATAATTCCAATAAGCAATCTGTATAGAATTTACTGTTACCATAATAATTCGCATGAGCAATCTGTATAAAAGTTCACTGTTACCATAATAATTCCAATAAGCAATCTGTATAAAAATTCACTGTTACCATAATAATTCCAATAAGCAATCTGTATAAAAATTCACTGTTACCATAATAATTCGAATAAGCAATCTGTATAAAAATTCACTGTTGCCATAATAATTCCAATAAGCAATCTGTATCAAAATTCACTGTTGCCATAATAATTCCAATAAGCAATCTGTGTAAAAATTCACTGTTTACAGCATTAGTTGAATTCACTTCTTGAATTGAATCCTACAGTACCTTATAAGTACTGTACGTTTGATGAACTGTCAAGGGACTACAGTCGGCTCAGTGTACAGTACAGTACTATGTATCATGTCTAATAGACACCACAGCATTTTTTTCTTTTAATTAAATAATAATAAAATACGCGATTTCGTAAGAATTTACTCATCCTTTAGAGGGCGTTGCCACGTTATGGCTTATGGCTGCTGTTAGTAGCCAAACTTACTTATTATATTAACGTAATAATAACAACCAACCCACACTTCGTACGCAACTGACGTTTTTCTACTATAGAATAGTACCTATTTTCGTCATCTCTAACGGACTTTATCCTACCGCTGTAAAACAAACTTTTATAGTATAACCTGATACAATAGTTTTTTGGTAATTCAACATTCTAATAGTTCATACTCTAATAGCACTAACAAATGACATTATTAATTGTAGTTACTGAAGATATGTACTTATCTCCATTGTACACACAATCATAGGATGCATAGTTCTTTACTATAATTACTTGTACTCACTTTCACCTGCTACTTTTGACTGGAGATATTCCATGTTAAACAAACCATAAAGCGATGGACTTCCAAGTCTTTTTGACTGTTAATATTGGGGTAATGTAAAGGTTACGCAAATACGAACGTATTGAAATTTTAAACTTTTCATTTAAACTATAACAACAAAGAGACGCCCAACGAATGAAGTGTAGTTCGTTCAGTCCTTCCGAATGGGCGGATTGCTCTTTGTAGACCACCTAAATTTCAACTGCAAAGGTCCTACATAGGCGACACTGTGTAGCACCTTTTATACTTCAATTCCAATGAGTGCTGTTGCTCTAAATTGGATAAATAAACTATAAACAGTTATCTGTCATATACAATTTCATACTCGTACAATGTACAAGTTTACCAATTTATTTCACTAATTGTAGTGATTCTGTGTATTTATTGCTAGTTTATGTAATCGTAAAAGATAATAAGTATTTTCTAACATAGATGATTACTACATTTAGGCTAGTAATTTCATCGTAAAAGAGAGAAAAGCCTACTCATGCTTAAAACATTGCCAATCAATACCTTCAACAAAGACTCAACACTTCCTGATGACAGCGGTCATGACATAAAAATGAATGAAGATGATTTGCCAGGAACCCTGCATAGCGTCGAGATAGATAATCTAATTAATAATGCTAGACAAAGCAATCAGGCTGGATCATCGTCTTCTTCGTCATCACTGTCATCTTCGATGAACGATCCCTCATCTTTATTTAAGATCGAAGGTACAAAATCGAACGATGGGACAACTAACAATAGCACTGGTAACCATCTAGGCAACAGCAAGGACAAAGCACTTTATGATGCTACTGCGAACCGTTATCGTGAATTTAAGCTATTTCATGATTACTTTGGCTTAATTAATTTGATAGTGAAAAAGAAAGCGCACAACATCAATTCTGTTAATGGCCTTATTCAGCAGCAGGCGGCTTTATCCAATTTAGATAGCAAATTGAACAGTCTGTGGGCGCCATCGGATACTTCATTTTCAGCCAACTCAAACAACAATCACGGTGGCAATAACAGTTACTTTACTGGTGATCTGTTTAATAACTTAAACGGATTAAATCGCAGTGATCCGCATCGATCTCGCTTTGATAGTTTGGAATCGGAAATGTCGTCTTTGGCATCAAGTAACAATGGAACTCCAACTTTTAATAACGAGAATGAACCACAACACTTCTCCTTTGCTGAATCTAGATCGTTGCCGAAAATGAGCACGGGAAACAATGGAAATAGCATGCTATTTCAAGCTTCACATAATGGTAACATGATTAGCAAGAGTGCTAGTCCTGCAAATAGTGGCCTGATCAGGAAAGAGGTGGGTGCTTCCAATGCCAATACTCCTACTGCTATACAAAGACGAAATGTTAAGCAACGTGTCAATCCAAGACAAGTGTGCGTCTTCTGTCGTAACAATGGCGAGCATGAAGATGTTTATACAAGCCATCAGTTAAAAGATGCTGACGGCAAGATTACATGTCCAATCCTAAAGGCTTATACTTGTCCAATTTGCGGTGCTACGGGCGAAAATTCTCACACTATTAAATATTGCCCATCGAATAAGGAAACTTCTTTGGGCAACGGAACAAATACTACTACAGCTGTTACAACTAGTAATGTTGCTACAAACTACGGCTATTCTAATGGCGTCTCCAATGGCCAACATGAGCAGCAACAAAGCCCACTTTTCTCAGGTAATAACAGCGATATCAAAAAAATTGGAGGTAATCGTAGTAGGCAACAAAAATATGGCATTCATTAAGTCATGTGGCCAAAACTATTTCATCAAAAGTTACCGTTAAGCAAGTATCGCAGGTAGTTTAATAAGCGATATTCTTTCTGTAGATTACTTTAGTTGCGTATATAGCTAACGTTACTCAATTTTTTTAACAATGGATGTTATTTACCACTCAGTTTATAGTAGCTAAAATTAATATAAACCATAATGATATGGGCACATTGTACAACGAATAGAGCAGTTATTATTATCTTATAACTTACTCACTGTAATTATTCTGCTTTGTAAATGTGCCAATCGTTATCATATACTATATAGCATTATATGTTATAACAAAGACAAATGGAACTTTAGCTATAAGATTAACAAATGCAATTCTAACTTTATTTTTAAATTGTGATTAATCACTTATCCATTTTACATACATATCCAAGATGATTACAATTACAAGTCATGATTTACCTTTTGCTCTATATTGTAATTACCATCGTTGAAATAATCGAAAATGAATTATTTAAAAAAGTATTACGTAATTATCATTACTTACAGTTAAGTAGAACAGGTACATTTTACTTCGTCGCATATTTACGTATTGATACAAGATGTACCTGTGACTTTAAACTGATTTATAATATCAAATTGTACTCCGATAATTATTATTATTAATACGAACTGTATTCTTTATGAAAATAGCGTATTCGGAGGAAAAAAGCTTGCTTAACAATTTTGTTCAGTCACATTATTTAGTTATTAATTCTTCCATTCATTTTTGTCTACAATGCAGCAAACATTATTTATAAGAAGTATCCTTATTTCTTATGTTATCCTATTATTAATAGTGTATCAAGACGATAGATAAACTATTTTAGTACAGTCATAAGAACGTGATTGTACTTGTAATTCCAATTCCAATCGGTTGAAATGGCATACCGAGTTTGATTATTTTCTATAAAGAATTTTATAATCAGGTTTTATTTGATGGTATTATCACTTTAGGCATTATTGAAATAATATTGATAAAATTAAAAATTTTTTCTTTTTCTCAAACGTATGATTTTAGTAAGTCCTAAATTATACTAATGTAGAATGCACTTGTAGCTATAATCATCTAAAGCAGGATGTTTTGATTTTCTTATTAGTTTATCGTAGCCAATATGGGTATGATTATTGTTGTCATAGCTTATATAAGTTATCGTACAGCTGAAATCCAATTTTTTTTTGTTAGTTTGCTATTATTGAGCAAATTACATACAAGATATAATTAACTCATGCAGTGAAGAGATTAGATTGACATCTTACTGCACAAATTCGTTCCACTAGAATATGGTTATAGAATGCATTGCTGATGTATAACTGTGCATCCTCATATATGATTGTATTGTATCGCTTTTATTAAAATTGTTTATCTAATGTATTGTTCCAAAACTAGCGTAGATATATATATGACTTTAATTATGATTATTGTCTGTTTAATTATGAAATTTTATTTAGCCAATTAAGTCTTTATTAAATGTTATGCCAGTCAGATAACGTATAAAGCGCAAAAAATTCGCGTGAACCTTTTTCACTTGTCACTATACGTATTGTCATTTTTTTTTTTTAAAATCACTAATCAAAATAATTTCAGTTATTTGATGTTTTCTGTGAAAATTTTACAATATTGATTATGGTTGTCTTTATTGAATAATGCCTTTCATAGCCTAATTAGAGTAACATTTTGATCATCCTTATTATAATTCACTTTGCAAGTCAGTATTATGATACTGATTTGGCGATATTTCATGGTACTTGTTAGCAATTTTACAATCTTATCGTTGATATATTCTTCAAATCTACAGTATATCTATCAAAATATAGGAATACTACAAATGACTCACAATTAATTATCATTGTTCATATTTACCCTCGATTAATGACATGATTATTATGCTGTACGTGTTGATTTTGAATCTTGACTTATCTTGATCAGATACCGTTGACGTAATGCTCCATTTTTTTAAATTAGATGCGATTTAATAGCTGCTGCAACAGCAGTAATGTCATTGCAATCAGTGTTGTTCGCAACGTTTTATTATCACTATATAAATACGTATCTTGCAGTACATTATTGTTATTGGCGATAATTGCGTTCGCAGTTAAATCCATGCTATCATTTCCCCTAACTTACACGTTAATATTAACTTTAAGATAATCTTTCTGATTGCACAGTCTAAGATTGATTAATTATAATCGAAAATGGAGATGAAATGATTATTTGATTGATAAAATTTCTTTTCATTATTGTCCTATTGCTCTTTCTACTTTGTAAAACGATATATATGAATGTATTTCTGTATGCATCAATGAAATATAGTACGTTACAACATTACTGCTTAGGTGATCGTTTCGGAATGTGTTTGTCTGCATGCTTGGATTTACACAACGATATTTTCAGCGTAGTTATTCATTTTCTGTCTTCTATAGCTCTTTAAACAATGTACGCAAATAATTCGAATTGGTATCAGTTTGCAAGCTTTACCTAATATAGGTTTGCTAACGTCACAACTACAGTAAGTGATTGTACACATTGTAAATGGTAACACTGGCTCATTAATTTCGATATTAGTTAATAGATGCAGTTGTACAGTACTGAAAGCGGCTTAGAGCCTTAAGTATGATTATCATTTGATTCTCATAAACGAGTTTACTAAGATCATTTACAGACGATGGCAAAATTGATCGCTATCCGATTATAAATTCCAAGTTATTGAATAACTCGCGACTCTATGGTTTGCTAAATACTATAATAAATAATCCTTTACAATACGTATTTATGCCCGTATATAGAATAGAAACTGACTTACGCGTTAAAATATTGCTTAAGTATACTAGTTATTATATATATAATTACTGGCGAATCATTCGTTCAAATAAGCGGGGGAGCATAATCTATACAAAACAATAAATTAAAAGAAAATTTATAGCTAGATTATCTTAATATAGACTCCTAAATAAGCATTAAATAAATAAGCATTGCAGAGAACGGCTACTCCTTTGTCGAGCAAAATAGTCATCAGAGGGGAACACGGGACTCTAAGGCAATACTACGCGTATAATACATATAAACAAGGATCTACTTTCTTTTCTAGTAAATGCTATCAGAGAGGAAGTTTTGCTGAGCTCAAAAGCAGTACTGTGTGTGGATAAAGTCGTGCCAGTTATCCAGCAAAATAGTCATATTGACGAGTGTGGCAATGAAGTAGTGACACTACAATATTCAGAGGGCCTGGTACTAATTATAAGATGTTATTTCCATTTAGGAGTTCCTGCTGGTATGTTTTGTTATGAGAGCTATTAATTTGAGCACAATTTAGCCACTGATGGTGATGTTGATCCTTTCTTCGCAATAATAGGCAACCTATCACATATATAGGTCAGGTAAGTTTACGTTATACTTTAGTCTTCTGTTATTTCAGTCGTAGCAAATTACTAGTGCAATACATCCATAAAATGATAATATCGGTCATTCTAAATAACAACTACAAGGATAACAAGCATCATCTGTCGAAATTTGGTATATATACTAGAATGTTAGGATACAGTAAATTAGCGTTAAAGGATGATAAAACTAGATTGAGTAATGTAGCCCCAATTCGTAGTAAAATGTGGTAGATGGTCACGTATAAAAATTTGACAGTCGAGGGGGCTTAGTGCAATATTACTAAAGAGTTGGTATTTTCAAGGGCTATAGTGTAGAATAAGCATCAACTTAGCTTCAATGTGTACAGTAATTAGGAGAAAATTGGCTCGGTCAGAGGCTCGCGAGTTATAATTGAACACTGTAGCTTAACGTCAAGAAGGCTACAGTAAGCACGTTTCAAGTCTTGCAGTTATATTCTATACGCGTACTGTATTGATTTTTACTACATAATACATTAATGCATGGATTACTAGAGAAAGACCTTCTCCTAGTAGTAGTCTAGCATGTCTTCTTTTAGAAATCTATGGTTAATGTCTAAGTAAAGCAGACTTCAAGTCTTGTAATTATATTCTATACGCTTACGGTATTGATTTTTAATACATAATACGTTAATGCATGGATTACTAGAGAAAGACCTCCTCCTAGTAATAGTCTAGCATGCCTTCTTCTAGTAATCTATGGTTAATCTCTAAGTAAAGCAGGCTTCAAGTCTTGCAATTCTACACCGTCCATTCTTGATGATTACGTTAATGCTACAATAAACACGTTTCAAGTCTTGCACTTTTACTATCCGTAAGGGGAATGTCAACCATGGTTACCATCAGCACCTTTTAAATCTTGCAGTGTTGATTTTTACTACACAAGTAGGACTAGAGTCCTTCAATAGAGGAAAACACAACCTGAACCCGATCATATTGTTGATTTTCTAACCCAAAATGTGAGCAATCGCTATGCAAACACCGTATCGCCATAGGAATTGCTGAATCCTGCCCGCCTTCCAACCGGGTTCAAGTCGGGTTTCCGGTTGACTTTTACTAAAACTTGATCAAGTAGGACTGCCGCTCTTACAGCGTTATGAATCCTTATACTGTGATAGTGTCCTGTATGGCCAGTTTGCGTAGCGAACGCCCTAATATTAACATAATACGACTCGATAGCGTATACGGCCGTACGATTGACGGACAAGGAGTTAAGGACAGTAATATCACCGAGTTCATTGAACGTCATTTTCATCATCATTAGTTTGTTTTTTTGCCTTACTTCCGTAAAAATTGAGCTTTCAGTTTATTATACCAAGCATCCATAGGTGGATTACTATTTTCACATGCAGTTTACGATGCTATGTAGCTATTGAATT